ATAAATTTCCATTATATCCAGTGACCGGTCTCAATTTTATTCCGTAATAATATCAGAAATAAATAAAATAGATGAAAGGCATCTAATCAATTAAATAAAATGAATTTTCGTATTTTCTAATTTTGTAAGACTCTGACTGGGAATTTCGGGAACGGAGAATTCTGGAAAATTCCAAAAAATTCTCGATATTCACGGACATTAATTTCCGCGAGTGCTCCATGGATAGCTGCAGTGCCTCCCATGCCCTAATTACCCAAAAACTCGGTTAATCCGGAGTGCCTTAATGACGACTATTATTTAACCAATATCTCAATTACCATAATTAGAGTATGTACAGGGTCAACATACGGTATAACAACCTCTGCATGAGATACACGGTGTTGGATGTAATGCAAGGACACGATGGTCATCCTCAACCCCATGATCCGTCAACCCGTGTTAAACATATTGATATTTCAACCTGCCAGCCAACGCACACCAAAATCGATACACGAGGACTAACACATGTCACTTACCCACCCTGACCCACCTGGAGAGAAAAAATATGCGCGTGGAAAAAACTTTATAGTAAAATTACCCCTGACGTTTAATCACTGCATAAAACACCGCAAATCCCTATTGAACGCGGAGAGTTCAATCACCCGAATCAGGTCACTGATAAAATCATTCCGGATTTATTTGGGAAAAAAAAAAATTAACAGTGACAGCCGAATTTCCCCGACGCTGAAGTAGAATAGTCCCGGCTGTCATCAGACGAATCCATCCTAAATCGTGTGAATCACAATCATCGTCCCTGATATGTCACTCACAATCCCTATAATTCTCATTATCGTCATCAAACTGGACACATCAGTCCCAAAAACCCACATGCACTACCCCTTCCCCAGAGAATATAATAAATCGATTGTCACTCGTCAATACCGGCATTATTGAACTCGAATTCATATTCTGCCAGTCCCCGAGAAATTTCTCCCAAAAACAACTCCACTGAAAATTTCCCAACAATTTTTTCCAAAAAATTATAAAAATAAACACACGACTATAAAAAATCTGAAAACGGTACATTTTTGTGAGTCGACATGGACGACAACTCAACTCGCGGAAAACCGCGTAAAATAATTCCCTAGAAAAAAAAAATCGATTTCCCGGAAAACATTTAGACCGGATGTAGCACATATAACGGTTTTCCGGCTGGTTAAAATGAGGCTAGATTCTCAAGAGGAAACACTCGGGGCGGCCATTAAATCGAACCCAAGTCTCGAAGCCCTCGCCCCTCACTCCCTTATTGAGTCCCTCATTGCTCCAGGCTGACATACCTATACACATTAAGAGTGAGGACAGAGCTAGAGGGGATGGAAATGCTAATGAACTGCCTCACCACTCGATACGTCGATGTGAGAGGCACTCGCATTAAACGCCCTCATTCAAGTCCCTCCCAAGTCCTCGCGATGCCTCAAGGGGAATTCGCTCTCTCCTTCACTCCTTTGTCGGATAAAAAAAAAAAGACGAAGGGCTCAATAGGTCTTACAGCCGCTCCCATCCAAAAATGAAGCCCTCCGTTAATTCTCCGGTCCTCTCAACGGTTGGAAGGTCATCAAGGGCTCGTGCAGCTCAACCACATGATGAGAGAGTGAATTAGTGATGACGCGAAGACACCGTGGGCGATATCTTGAAAGGAATCAAAATATATGCAGTCATCTCAAAGATATCAAGGACTCCATTTTGGAAAATTTATTTGAAAACCTCTCGAATCGATCGAATTTTTTTTTTTATTCACTCTAATGGAACGACGTACCTAATCGATTGAGTTTGATTAATTGAATGTAATTTTAATTTTTATACAAAAAATTGAAATTTATTTTGAAATAAAAAAATAAAAAATTTTAAAAATCATTTTCACAGGTGAAACGATTGTTTTTTTTAAGAGCGAGACCTTTTAATTTTTCTGTACTTTTAACTCATTTCCTCTGTTTTCTTCTTTCTTTTCCGTAAGATTGAGGGATTTATCCGAGGCACTGTAAAACAGACGTCGTTGACAGGATATTGCTTGGTCTGAGGATGATTACTCTTGTTTGAAATTTGATTTCACAGGATAAGGAGAGAGGGCGTCCTCGACAGCTGTTCGTTCCGTCTGTAACTAGGTTATGGAATATAATTTTGAGGTTAAGAGGCAGAGGGTGAGGTTTCCCATTGTCACGAGCCTCAATTTTCGGCTTCTTTTGAGTTGACAATTCCATTTAAACTCAGCGATAATTGAAATGCTGGCTTGTCCTGAAATCAGAGGATTGGGGATTATTTATTGCAATGTTTTTAATGATTTAACGGAGAGATAATGGATTCGGCGGTGTTTAAGTCATTGAAATGTTGGCAGCCGTCATGGGAAACTGGTAATTTTATTGGTTTGATGAATGGCCACAACTACTCGGTCACGTACGAAAACCCCGAGACACTGTCCTACTGCATATTTATTAAAATAGTACATCGTGTACAGTGGTACGCACTTGAATTTGTCACTTCTATATTTTTAGATATATTATGCTCCTCACTTCCACCCTCACAGGGTTATTACCTCTTCATTTTCAACTGGTGTGGGACAAATCGCTGTTCTGCCAAACTGTTGAACCACGAGTTGTTTAAAATTCACATGAATCAGAGATCTTATTTTGACTACTCGAACTCATCCCGAGCCAAAGTAATGGAAAATTAATCGCAGAGATGTTCCCTTCAATTGAAGAAAAACAAATAATCAGGGAATCGTGAATAAAAAAAATTTCTCATTTTGAGAAGCCGGGGAAAATCTCCGGAAAATCGGTAAAAAATTCTAGGTAAAAAGGGGTGGAGCCATTGGCAATTTGTTGAATCGGAAATGGAGGAAAATTTCCGTTGGTTTGTTCTTGTGTACGGCGGGCATTTTCTCGCCTTCGATTCACCTCAATTGCCGGATTGAGCGCACAAACGTGTGTACAACGAGAGTTAATTAATCCTGGGAATTAATCTCCCTTAAAAATCCCCATCAGAGAATTTCTAAACAACAAAACAATAGCAATTCACATTTTATCTTGGCATTCTATTTCAGGTGAATTAAAAATTGAGTGGTGAACTTTAAAAATGTCGAAAAAAGCACCTGACATTTATCCCGAATTCATCGATTATCGCATCACGTGGGGGTGAATCCTTTAAATATCCTTTCATTAACTATCGAGCGATCTTCCTCCGAACAAGTTGATTGATTGTTAACAATGACTTCTTGGGAAGAGAAAAATTTCCATTTGATTTTCATTTTTCTGGGCTTTGATGGATTTTGTGGTGCATTGATGCAGTCCTTCTGGGATGCATTGAGCTGCATCAAAACAGAATGGATAAGTCTTGTCCTTCGAGGGATTGGGGAGGCTGTACCGAGGTGTATTTGCACTAGTTTCAGTTCACAATTCTAACCACCATCCACTGGCTTATCGATCGTTAGGAACCAGTGCCACATCGCCTTGTTGGTTTCGTCAACCAGTCACCCTCTCTCACACCCTTAACAGAATCAGGCCAAACGACCCAAATTTTACCGACTACCACGAAACAGCTCCAATTCACCCCGAATTTTCTCTCTTTCCATTTTTTACACACCATTTTTCCATTAAATTGTTCAATTGCTTGACGTTTCGGTGAATTTTCACTGAGCTAATGGTCCAATTATTTCCAAACAATCGTGCAAATTAAAAAAAAAATTCTCCATCAACATAATTTTCCGAGGGATTCAAGAATAAATCGTCGATGATACTGAGAATGAATAAAAAGCTGTGGTACTTGAATGGCGTGAGTCGAGGATCCTCCGATTTTTACGGGAATATCTGCGACTGGGTATCGTCGTCTCGACATATCGACAGCAGAACGACAGCTTCAATTTCCCCTCAGATTTTTCCTCGAGTTTTCTCAACTGACTAGAACACGACACAGACTCGAGTTCCCTTAAAAAATATTGATAAAAATTCCTAAACCCGAAATTCAATTCGAGAGTTTAATGTTTCAGTTGCTGTTTCGTCGAGGAATAAATTAGTTTCGACTGTATTTTTTTTTACTCGAGGGAAAACCGAGTGATAAATTAACCTGGGGGGGAAAAGGGCGACCTTCCAGGAGGAAAGTTTTGATGGCCGAGGCATTGACGCACTTTGAGTCACGTTGTAATACAGGTTTCCCATTAAACCACGAGTTGGTGTTATTTTTGCTTTTCATCGCGGATATTTATAGACGCCGCCAAATGGCAATACCCCGCATGTCAGGTGCGTTATAAAAACAGAAGGAACGGGTGCTCCGTTCAATTCCCTCATTGGCCCAATAGGAAATTGATATGTCGGAAACTACATAATTTTTTAAAAAAATATTTCCATATTGGAATTACCGAATTATGAATAATAAAATGTTCGCAATTTGTTTCTGAAAAAAATTGAAAAATTGGATGAATAATTTTTCGTGGTGGTCACCTAAATTTACTTGGGGAATTGACAATGCAGATGGGAAAGACGATAAGTTGATCGTGAAGAGCTGAAGACCCTAGTCGTCCATTAGGGTTGGTAGGTTGCATTTGAAAAGCTGTTACCACGAGGCCCTTTACCGGAAGTGGGTCACCGTGACTGCATCGTGTAAAAGTTTAACGCGTCTGGGGGCCGAATGTCGTAGTTGAACGTCATCCATTGAATGAGCTACAGCACCACGTCATGCTATCTTTTAAAGTGACAGGCCACAAATATCCACCAAAAAATTCTCTGTAATGACACCGGGGGTGGAATAAAAATATCCCCTTTTATGTGGTCGAACGCTATTCACCGGGAAAATGTGAAGCGCCCTGTCGGAATAATTCAAGAAATCTTTTCCCGTACGGATATCTCAATATATTTATCTCAACAAAAATTATTTCCCGATTAAAATTGAGAGAGGCTAATTGGATTGACGTATGAAGTAGCGCACGCACTTATTACGGGGATTATTGGTGATTTTGTATTTTTTAATTGCAGATCGCTGCCGAAACTCACTGGCCCAGACGAGGAAGGGCCAAACCCTCACACCCAATACACAGGCGTCTCACAGTTCGAGCCAATACCACACGATCATGACTTCTGTGAAAGGGTCGTCATCAACGTAAGGATTTTAATAAATCTTCATGGAAATAATATATGAGAATTATGGATCAATGGGCGAGTGGTCAGACTGGCGTACATACGATCAGGAGTTCGTTCCCCGCCTGTACCAATTCCTTGGATTTTTAATTTCTCTGTTCAAAAATATGTTCAGCCGAGTATTGGACCCGCAAGAATCCACCCTCACATCCCCCAGCCATTTGCCCTTGTAAAATATTTTTTCTCCCCATTCTCACTGGTTAACTTCCGAGGCTGATGCATTTTGGCACAGTAGCCAATTGGGCATCGCGTGACGGATTTCTGGTAGAAAGGAACTTCATACAACCCACCCCACCGCGAGGGTCCAAAAAGTATTATTGGAAAGAGTGGCCCGTATATCCGATAAAAGAGAAACAAGAATGTGAGAGACTGCAGAACGAAAAAAACGTAAAACCCGTCAAAAATGATAAGTCCAAAGGAAAAAAAAATAATAAAATTCACTGGCTCTGAAACAACAATCCCCAGAATTCATGCATAAATAACAGAACCTGGTGGGATCGTCGCTCTTCTCAATCTGGGTCGTGATTTCCATGCTCCTATTCTAAAGCTAATCGTGAAAGCTCACGCAAAATCTATTCTGCCTTTACCACCAAGAGTTGTGTGTACGAAATTGTCCCTAATTGTCCTCGTGATATATCTCACCCCAGTGTATTCAGATTCGCGAGCCTAATTTAACGATCAGAAATCTTGGCTTTCTCAACCGCACCACCGGATCATTAACGTTCGCTGCACCAGGAATAATTTTCTTTTTCGGAAATGTGGGAGGAAAAAATTCAGGCAGCTTCTCGTAAAAAAGGGAAAGTGTGGTTTGACATTCTAAACAAGCTGGTGAGAAAGTCAGAAAGAAGTGAAGTGACCTAGCCACATAATTTGGCAGTTGTCCAAGTTCATCTTGGAATATCTGGAGGAATATAGTATCAAGGTCGTATATTGTGTGCAAAGAGGGATTATCCGTTCTCAACCGGTGACACGACCGCATTGCGCCAATTATTGTAGACACTTTGTCTTTCGAAACCTGATAAAAACCGTTCAATCCATCTATCTGTCCCGCATAATGTCCGATAGAATCGTCAAAGTTATTCTTATACAAAAGCGTTTTGCGATAATACGATGACACCTAGTTTTTCCATAATAGCATTATTGCACAACTTTGGTGCAATACTATTCAGAAATAATTGAAATTTTAAATTAAAAAACCCTTTATTTTTTTTAGCGAGTGAAGTGCTATTTTCGGAGAACACGCCAGCAATAAAATAACGATCCAATTAATTATCTTGCGGTGTGAATATTATTAATAAAAATTTCAGGTGAGCGGGTTACGGTTTGAGACACAACTGCGTACGCTGAACCAGTTTCCGGACACGCTGCTTGGCGATCCGGCAAGACGGATACGTTACTTTGATCCGTTACGCAACGAATACTTCTTCGATAGGAATCGGCCCTCATTCGATGCAATTCTGTATTACTATCAGAGTGGTGGACGTCTACGACGACCAGTTAACGTTCCCCTCGATGTGTTCTCCGAAGAGATCAAGTTTTACGAGCTGGGCGAATTGGCAACCAACAAATTCAGGTAAATCATTGAAAATCCAGTGAACAAGCAAACTCCAGCTGAAGTTGAATAAAATATCAAAATGTGAACATCAAGATGAAGAATACTTTGTTTTCCACTGAGTTTCGCCTGGAATTTGCTAAAAGTTACGACTCAGTGACGCGAAAGTAGGATAATGTTGAGGAGTGAGTGTGATCATGAGGATTAATGGTTATTTGATGTTTGTCTGGGTATTGCAGGGAGGACGAGGGATTTATCAAGGAGGAGGAGAAGCCACTGCCGTCGCACGAGCTTCAGAGAAAAGTTTGGCTACTATTCGAATATCCGGAGAGTTCACAGGGGGCTAGAGTCGTTGCTATTATCTCCGTATTCGTGATCCTATTATCAATCGTAATATTCTGTCTTGAGACACTACCCGAGTTTAAGCATTACAAAGTGTTCAACACTACGACTAATGGCACAAAAATTGAAGAGGACGAAGTGCCGGATATCACGGATCCGTTCTTCCTAATAGAGACTATTTGTATCATCTGGTTCACGTTTGAGTTATCGGTGCGCTTCCTCGCCTGCCCAAATAAACTTAATTTCTTCCGTGACCTTATGAATGTCATCGACATCATCGCGATCATTCCTTACTTCATCACACTGGGCACGGTTATTGCCGGAAAGGAGCATGAGATGAATTTGCCAAAGGCACCAGTCAGTCCACAGGACAAGAGCACCAATCAGGCAATGTCCCTTGCGATACTTAGGGTCATAAGGCTTGTGAGGGTATTTCGAATATTTAAGTTGTCCAGGCACAGTAAAGGCCTTCAGATACTTGGGCGAACGTTGAAGGCCTCCATGCGTGAGCTCGGGCTTCTCATCTTTTTCCTCTTCATCGGTAAGTTCATCCAGTCAACTGACTACTCTAACATTCTTGCACTCATCACCAGACAAATCATAATCTAGAGGATCCATGCACCCTCTACACCCTGATTATTCGTCAAAATAAAAGATTTCGTGATTCAAGCTGAAGTACCATTTGACCATGTGATTTTAATTCCTCCGCAAATCAATAGGAATCAGTGATTAATTGGCGGTTTTGATGGAGACAGGATTAGTGTAATTCTGGTTGAATCAAGAATTCATGTGTTCTGTATATTGGTGGAAAATGAGATATGAATAACCTTGTTTTTAGCAATTGATGATCAGAAGTTGCGGTTGGGTGAATAACTGCCAACAGATGATTGGAAAATTAATGAAATTTAGTAGCTGGTGGTAGTTAAAAGCTCGTGTTTCAGGGGTGATCCTATTCAGCTCGGTGGTGTACTTCGCGGAGGCTGGGACAACGGACAGCTTCTTCAAATCAATACCGGATGCATTTTGGTGGGCGGTCGTCACAATGACAACCGTTGGCTACGGCGACATGAGGTACATCATTGTTAATATTACATCTGAAACGCGTTTTTTTTTCGTTGTATTGCAGGTGTGGTGCTATTCTCCTCGGCAGTATACTTCGCGGAGGCCGGCTCCGAGAATTCGTTCTTCAAGTCCATTCCGGACGCGTTCTGGTGGGCCGTTGTCACGATGACTACCGTGGGCTATGGTGACATGACGTATGATGTACTCACTTTCATTAACATTTTAGTTTATTGCCACAGTATGCTCCTTTTTTGTTTTATATTTTATTTTTGAAACTTAAGTTTTTTCATTTGTATTGATTTTTGTCGTTTAAAGTTTCATTTGGAGTTTCAAAGAGTTGATTTACTTTGGAAGTTTCACTGAGTGGTTTGTTGATCAAGTAACTGATTGCCATTTATCCGCATTTACCCCCGAACGTTTATTTATTCATTTGATTTCATTTATTTCGTTGATTCTGGTTATTTTAGTTCGTTGGGTTAATTCTGTTTATACTTATTGTTTGAGTTTATTTTATTTTCAATTCTTGTGAGATGGAAAGTGATTCACGACTGTTTTTACGACTTTTGGTTACATTTCTGATACACGGTGCCATATACTAGAGAGTGATTACTGAATATTTGAGTCTTGTTTATTTTCTCAGCGAAGAGCATTAGTACATTTTTTTGCTTAGATAGAGGATTTATTTGAAGCATTTTATACACAATTTGTCAGTTGAAGGCATTTGATACGCACCGGAATGCACTGTACGTTAGCACAAATTTTAACGTGAATTAGTATTTAATAATTGTACTCAATTCTGAGGGAAATTCAAGTCGGGGGAAAATTCTTTGTTACATTTCCATGGATTAAATTTCATTGTAATACGTAGAAAATTCGGTTATTTTGGTTGTTTATCAAATGTGCCTCGTGAGACTCGGCACAATTTAGTGCCTGCAAGTGGACAATATATGCGCCATTGATCCAGACTCTCCGGATTTTATTATTTACGTTACTTTACGTTTCGTTTCCGTGAATCAGAAGTAATTTCATTGTTAATTTTTTTTTTCTCAATTCTTTACTTTCATTTAAGTTTGTAACCCGTGATTTTAAAGTTTAATGGAGTACGTCCGACGTCATTGTTACGAGCACTAAATTTGAATGAGCCCAAACTTAATGAACATATTGTAATAACGATGAAAAAAAATGTGGGGTGGGATTATCGTTGAAAAAAATTTGAAGGCAACCGTGTACTTCTTAATTGGATTGTTAACAATTTTATCCGGATTAAGGGAGAGTCACGATCGTCCACTCGAGCTCTCTCGCATCCCAACAAAGAATTTTTTCCGAAGTGTCAAGGTTTTTTCACACCATTTGCCAACCCCCAAATTCTAATGCATGCCACCTCAAGCCCAACTTGCAATGCGCGAACAATGTCGAGGGAATGAGAGGCATGATGCTGAATTATGATTCGCTCTTTCGTATTACTGGCTCTGAGCTGATCTCCGCGATCTTCAGACATTTCAAAAACAACCACCGAGATAATAAGAAAAAAAAAATTAATCACCCGTAATTTCAGCCACGTCCCCATTGAAAATTCATCCCCTAAATTTTTATCTCCTTCATCACGATTCAAATGAATTGCCCCCAGTAGTTGAATTTTTTTTAAATTATTTTCTTCAATTATTTCCCTGTGTAATTACGATGAGAAGAATCAGAGGATAATGCATTTGTTTTAATTATCAATTGTACGATTAGTCGTGAGCTAGTGAAATTGAAAAATAAAAGAGCGAAAGCTTTGAAAATGATTGTTACCTCGCAAGTAGAACCGTTTGATGATCGGCCGAATCGTGAATTATGTTCATTGTGAAGAGAATAATTGAGTAGATGAGCCTCTCGCAAGTAAAGCCACACTCGACACGGCACACCAAATAGACACCACACCTCGCACATAGCTCGTTGTTATAAAAAAAATTGTTGCATTTTAAATGAAGTAAGAGAGACCGGATCTTGCCATGTCTATTCTAATCGGTGACATTTTTTTTTCTCCCTTTTCCTTTTTTCTTGAATCGGTTAAAGGCCCGTCGGTGTCTGGGGGAAGATCGTCGGTTCACTCTGTGCAATTGCTGGTGTCCTGACGATTGCCCTGCCAGTTCCAGTTATCGTCTCAAATTTCAATTACTTCTATCACCGTGAGACTGACCAGGAAGAGATGCAGTCGCAGAACTTCAATCATGTGACCAGCTGTCCGTATCTCCCTGGCACAATAGGTAATTATCAATAATTATCCATCCAGATAAATTCTTGGAATTGAGATAAGTGTAAAAATATTCGGCCCACCGTTGAATTACGCACAACTGAAGAATGTAATAATGTTATAGCATTAATGAATTTTCCACGTGTTGAAGTAATTCGAGGGTAAAAGAAGTGTCACATGGTCAAGGTCCAATGAGCCGTTGAAAATCCCCTTAGGAAGCCTCAAGACGTTTGATTTGTCACCCGCAAATCCCACAAATTGTTCCCACCGTGTTTACCCTACCCTCTTTCCTCAAGGCAATTGACCAGTAAGACACTGAACAATGTTGAAATACGTTAATGGCTCTGTCGACTTATTGGATAATATCATGGAAGCAGAATTGTTTCGCATAGGTCAACACAAAAAGAGCTCGATGTCGGAGTCGTCGTCAATAATTGAGCTTGAGGATGGTATTTTGTTAACCCAGCAGGATGTTGCTAAAAAGCCAAACTGCAATAATCCCCGTTACAATAACAACATTGCAAGCATTGAGACTGACGTCTGACTACTAGGTAATATATTTCAAGCCAATAGTTTCGTTTTAAGGACTTTTGGTTATCTCAACGTGCATTTAATTGGTTTTTACTCGAAATAGTGAAGGAGACGGTGGCAGCGTGGCGGCCATTGAAGAAACACATAATGAAGAGCATCAGCTCCCTCCGGTACCTGATATAAGGTCCTCCCAATGGCACCTGCGACAGTGACTACGACGAAAAAAAAATATAACAACCAGAACCACACGTCCAACATAAAAAAAAACACAATATGAAATACACACACATTGCCAGTTCGTGTTACTGAAACGTCGTGGTACAATCTTCAGCCTTCGAATGCAGCTCGATGGTGTTTTGCATTGTGCAATAACCGAGAGACATTGAGGGACCGAGAAATTATCAACTTTTGGTACCAAAAATGCAATCAATCCAACGTAGGGAACTAAGGAAAATAATAAATTGAGGAATGCGTGTGGATGACACATTGTTATACAGTGTGCAAACAAGCAAGACAATTGCTGTTTTCTCGCCCCACCACCACCGACTCCAGTGTTCAAAATATCTAATCTCCGTTAGCGCCGTAATGAAAATTTAACAAAATATCCCATCGACGAATTAAAGAGTTGAGGACTGAGGGAAGTGCCAGGAGAATAACAAAATGGATAAACCACGGATGAGTAAAGGGGAAAATCTAGGGAAATTACTTAATAATAAGGTCAATAAGAGAATTGGAAGGAGGGGAGAGGGGCAGGTGGGAGCCCCGGCGGGCCGCGAGGATCATACAAGATAATACTCATTATTGTAATTAATAATTAATGGAGATAACAACAAAACGATTATGTAAGGACGAAAAAAAAAGATGTTTTACGAAAACGATATTAAACAAAATAAAAAATAAAGACTACAGACGCGAGGATGGGCGGCGCCTTGCAATGGTGAAAAAGAAATATATAAAATTATAAGGATACTAAAGAAAATTTAAATTAAATAAAGACAAATTTTTTTAACGGTCGTTTTTACGAGAATTAATCGACGCTTCGGCGCGTCTTAAATGTCGCATTAAGTCCTGCATATATATAAATATACGTGAACAAGGGTATATTCATATATATATTATCTATATATAATTTGTTGGATGTGCGTGTATGTATGTTTTATTCAATTCAAAGAGAATAATAATCGGGTAACGTCGGGTACATGCGCGCACAACCATGGACAGTGGGGCCGCGGCTCGAGGATGGTACCGTGGAAATACATGTAAGGATTTATTAAGCAATGGAAATAGCATGTAATAAACACGCATGAAAATAATTAATCTGAAAATCCAACACTCAGAGATATTCAATGTCCTAAAGAAATTTTTTCATCCGTGAAATCACAAAACCATGAACAATTACCGAAAGAACCGCGTGACGAGATCTTGTCACTCATTATTTATTATTTTTCATCGAGAGCACCCGAACTCATTCCCGCGGGTGTCGCCGTACGTTGCACCAGGGGTAGAGGGTTTAAAAAATGTCTTCGAGTTATCTGATTACGTGACGATTGGTTCAGAGCAGGAAGCGCTAGATTTAAAAAAAAAATGGGGGAAAAATTTTCGGCTAGAAGCGATACTCACGTGAGATAGAGAAACAGGTTGCACGAATAATTTTTTAAACAAAGTGGAAAATGTCGTGGGCACGACTGTTCCATCCTCCATCCCGTATGTCCCGGTGTTCCAGTTTCAGTTTTTCAAGTCTATCTGAAATTCGAGTGCGTCCACAAGGATGGCATCCACTATTATTTTTGAAACGATAAATTCTATTGGGTCGTGTCAGGGGAATTTCAGTATCTCAGGACACGATGGGACAAAACGATCGTCTTCCCTGTCGTTCTAATCACACCTCTAACATCTGATATTTTTTTCTACCCCTTACCTTTTTCCCTAACTACTCAAAATTTCACGAACAATTCGTTACTCTGCCGCGATAAAATCTTCTCTGGTTTTAATTTTTTGTCCGACAATCGATGCACTGCGACGTGTCATTCTCATGGCGACCAATCTAGAGTCAAACCTCCCCACAATTTTTCATAAATAAACTCATTATTTTGGCAATGAAAAAGGGTTGAAATGAGAGTTTGGAATTGAAACGCGAAGCGTAGCCAATCCTTCCTGCCGATTCCATATTGTACCAGCTAGCGTCTACTTTTCAAAGATGAGAACAACTGTAATTACTCTACTTAGCCGTAAAATAATATTTCACCGTCTGTGTAAACAAACGTATTGTACAGTATGCTTTTTTTTTCTTCCAGCGAGTCTGGTGACTGCCTATCCTACTTCTCATAGTTATTTAATTGATATTTAAAACAAGTGGTTGAGATGATTCTTGAGGCCCGGATTTAACGGGATAATCACCACTGAAAGATGATAAAAATTTATCCATCCATATACCGTCACACTGGTTGAGAGGTCTAAAATTTCGTACACGTGTTCATTGTAAAAATGATTGAGTTATTCTCGCAATTAAAACATTTCTTTAAGTATTCGTATTTGTCCCCCCCTGCGACGGGCAAATTTTGACGATAACAAGCTCTAAAATTATTTTATAAAACAGGGTGAAAGTGCACTAGCTTAAATTTTCCTCGGAATTAGCGTAATTATGTTAATTGATGAGAGTAACGACCACTCGATAATTATTTTAGAGACCTCTGGCCGTTCCAATATTTCGATCTACCCCCAATATTTTAACCGATGATAAACACCCGCTCAGCCGCGAGCTAATTAAATAAAAACCATTTTATCGATGAAAAAGTCTGGCAAAAATGTCTCGATCGAATTCCTAGGATATATGTTGAAACGAGCCCTAGGTGTAAATTTGCATTAATAGCCGTAATGGATAGGCTAGTATAATAGAAACAATTTTTGGGAATAAATTATTATTAAGAATGAGAATACATGATCATTACGACTCGAAGTTGTCATTATATCATTACGGTTAATATCATTAGAATGCGAAATTTTTTGGCTATTTGTTTTTTATTTATTGTTGTTGATAAATTACGTTTCAATCGATAATTATGATAGGTTGGCGAATGGTTCGAGTAGATAGAGACGAACGGGACTGGAGATTAAAAATTTAAGATTAAAAATCATTCAAGCCAAAATTATTCTATTTTTCGGTGGACAGGTATCAGATGGTACAAGAGCGTCACACACACGAGACACAAATCACCACCACATATGAACCGTAATAGTGAATAAAAAAATTACAGAGGTGCAGATAAATTAATCGAGACAATTGAATTCCCTATGAATTTTTTTCACTCTCAAATGGTCATTTCTCATCGCCTAAGCATAGGAGTAAATTTTATCAAAAAAAAAAAAAACATCCAATTTTAATAGCGAAGAGAGAGATATAAAAAATTAAATAAATAATGACTCTAGAGATGAAAAGAAAACAATAATTACACGATTTACGTTATGCTTTTAATACAATGATGACAAATATTTGAATTTCTCGCCTTGCTGATTTAGTGGAAAGTACGATGCGTCAAGAAAACAGTCTAGCTTATTTAATGATGAAAAAATTGATGAAAAACAAGTATTCTATAAAATGATAAAATTTACTACTGCTAATATACTATTATACTACTGCAAAACTTATTAATATTAACTATTACCAACTAACAAGGTGAAAAATATGGTAAAATCGATACATACCAGACTACTCTGATAGACAGTGTGGTACTAGATTACCCAACAAGTGAAGAATAGTCGAGTAATTAAATAGCCGTGTAATTACAGCGAATTAAAAAAAAAATTCTGTGTCGATTGAGGCGAGAGACGAGAATAACGTTTATCTAAATACGGGAGGCATGACAATAGGGAAATTCTCTTGATTTTCACCCCCCGCTGTTTCATTTTTTTATTAATCATCCCGCATTTATACGGTTCATTGACACTCCGTGAAAATAATCCCCGGGATTGTTCTCATTTTATTATTTATCGACGAGTGAAATTAATCAGTGGTAATTGGATATGAAAGAAACGCCAAAATGTGTTTAATTTATCGACGAGAAAGTGCCCGCGAATCCATTGGACTTCCATAATTTATTCGCTCGACTGTTAGACATCACGCAATTTTTATCAACTCCACGCAATTTATTCACTGATTTATTATCAACACACACTTTGATATGACACATGGAGATCGATTAATTACCAATCGAAGAGTTAAATGCGTCAATGTGGGATTTTTTCGGGCGAATGATTTTATTACTGAACCAGGTGATCTCGGTTATCAATAAATTTAGATGAAAATATCATTCAGGCGATTCGATTTTCAATAATATTCAGTTGGTGCAAAGCTCGGTGGAATAAACTCATGGCACTGTCATCCGGCGAAAAAAATTATTAGCTGTATCGAGGGTAAATGACATTTAGGCTTCTGGATCTGTTGAAAAAATTCAGTAACGAGGGGTTAATTAAACAGGAGTAATAAATTAAAGTCGCTGATAGCATAAACGAGAGAATACACCGAAGAGTAGAGTTTAATCAGGCTGGCGTAGAGGCTAACGAGAAATTATGAAAAATTCATTGAAAACAAGAAAAAAACACTAGTGCCGGTGCCGTTGCACATCCCTTATTGGCAACAGAGCTTCTTCCTTTATTCAATTTAGAGTTAACAAGGAAAGAAATTCGATTTACACTGGGTTCAAAAAATTTGAATGGATTTTCCAGTTTTTCGCCTTGAAATATTCATTTTATTCACGTCAACTTTTCACGCGTTGAATTCTATTTGAATGACGTGTTGAATTTAAAAGATAAATTAACAATGAATTGTTTTCACTGAAAAAGGGGTGATGGTAGATTATTTACAAAATTTATTATGATTTTACCGGAAATTCATCAATTTTTTTGACGAGTGGAACTTCATTTCTTGTGATGAACAAGCATATCAAGCTTCTAGCGGAAATATCACAAAATTTTTGTAAACTATTCCATATAGTGATACACAAATATGAAGAATGAATTAATAGTATTTGATCGAATTGGTGTGAATTTGCAATAGGGAATGTTCGAATGGCACCTGACGAGACACGAGAGGTGTGAGACAACGTGTGCGACCGCTCGTGGATCGAGCTGACCGCTTTCAAGTGATATATTTAGATATTAAACGAATAAAAAAAAAGCCGTTTCAGAACTAAAAAACCAAAAAATATTGAATTTAATGTAACCATTGAAAAAAAAAAATTAACATTTGTTATTATTGAAGTTTTCAATAATTTGAGCCACATTGAACGATAAGTATTACTTATAAATGATAAGTAAATCTAAAAAATATATAGAACATATAGATATACTATATATATATCTGTATGATGGTAATGTACATATAAATATGTATATAGTATAAAACGACGTCGAACGGTGAAGATGAACGTTAAATATCCGCTCACACTAAATGACGAGGAAAATTAATTATTAATTAATAATGACAAATGAAAATCATTCATTACCAGAGTAAATGGGAGAAAATACTATTGTTACTATGTACATGGATGAGTTTGACTACGATTAAGCTACTCTGTAGGCATAGAAAACCAAAAATCATGGAAAAAGAAAATAGCATGAGAAAATAAAAAATTTGTATAAGGGCTGCACGTGGTGTGGACTCTCGCGCTACTTTAGCCAATCGGAATTCGTTTCATTAATTATTAATTAATTCATCGATGAAAATAAAAAAAAAACCAAAAACTTATTTATATAGTGTTGAGCACTGTTTTAAGTGCTTTTCATTTTTTGGCTGTGTGAAGCTTCAAACTAAATGAATAAAAAAAAAAACAAATAAACGAAGAAAAAAAAGCAAAAAACATTATCAATTATTATTGGCTTTGCATAAAATTCACTCTCGAAATTTTTCCGATAAACAAATATGGCAAAAATGTGGAAAATAATTGAAACAAAACGTCGCGTTTTAGGTAACGGTATTAGATGAAAAAGTATTTTAAAACTAAACGAATCAATAAATAATGAAAATCTTCGTAGTGAAGAGAATGAGAACGAGGTAAAAAATTTTAATGATAAAATAACGTAAATAAAGAGAATTTTAACAAAATGAATATCAGCTCCGTAATTTCTTCAATATGTTAAAATTATTCCGCATCTCCGTTTGTACGCATTTTAGAAGAAAATTATTGAATTGAAAGAAAAATGAAAAAAAAAAACGCAAGAGAATACTCCAGATCTACTATGTAACTTACATAACGGTACTAGCTCAGATAAACATCCTGCCGAGTTGCCCCGAGTTATGCTAAGCGCCACCTGGCCCGTATACATTATTTTAAACCAAATGATGATGAAAAAAAAAAATAACACAACCATTGAATAATTAAAATAAAAATGAAATGAATAAAAAAATTACATTAAGCATCACGCTCATCATTATAGTAAATGGGATACGATAATTAATACATAGCTCTATTTTTTCGCCCGACGAAATAATAATAATCTATATGTAAAAAGGCTAATTTTTTAAGAACATCAAGCTAAAAAAAAAAACTGAATTTTCATCTCTGGCAGCAATGAATGCTTTGTAAATACCTGGTTATTATTATAAACTATTTTAAACGGTAGGATGATGGAAATATTCATGAAATTAATGGCACCAGAACGAAGTTACCGAATTACGAAGGATTTCATCACGAAAAATCTATTAAAAAGCGCAAAGTAAAGATTTTAAAAAATAACCAAAAAAACGTCGGCCGATTGAATTTTAATATTCCGTGAATTTTTAAGTAAAATTTTATGATAATGAATATTGATAATTGTAATTCCCACGACCGAGCCACGATGAGAAAATTGAATAAAATTAATGGAAGATGAGATAAATCAATTTTATGCATCGTTTGCGGAATAAATTTGGGTATTCAGTGCCTTGCAGGGAGTCATTGCAATTTAACCTTAATTAGTCTCACTTGGGTCTTCCATCGACTTGTCTGTCGATTCCATAAGCAAGTCACTGTTCTCCCTTGTTTATAATTCCGCAGTCATGCCCAAGGTCTTCGCTTCCTTTCATAAGAAATAGTTAACAATTCAATAAAAAAAAAAAAAACGTCTTATCAGTACCACGAGAATTTGCACTTTCATTTTCAATGCATAGACATATTTTCTATTCGCGATGATAAAGGAGAGGGATTGGATGAGAATTATTTTAATGGAAGCGAATGCCAATAGGACGATGGCTCGTCGTGAGGCCAGCCCGGGCTCCCTTAATAAAAAAATTACAAAAAACCATAAAATAATGAAGAAAACATGGACGATTATGTGATAAGTATGTTAAAAATTTGGGTTCACTGCTGATTGATAAAACCCACTTGTCTTACTTTTCCTATTTTTTCAAATGCTCTAATAAATTATTGAAAATGATAAATACGCAATTGAACCGGGTACCAAGGCACTCAGGGCAACAATATTATTCTTTATTATTCATTTACCCAATTGTCTAGCATTACGTTATGTTTTGAAAACGTCGAGGAAAAATGATGGAACGGTGAAACACGCAACGTAACAACCAAAATTACAGAAATTTATGCATATTTTCAGATGCAGAAATAGAAGTTACTGTATATTAAATGTACGCCCATTCAGGTGATACACATAATCTACATTAAAAAAAAAAACATATATAAATTCATAAGGTACTTGTTTTCCCATTCATGAGTACCTCGTGCGTGGGCATGTCCTGTCAGTATTAAAAAACAAATCCACATATTTAAAAAAATATGGAATCAATATAGACGTAAATATCGTAAAGGAATGGTAAAAAAAAAGTACTTTGGAACGTAGTTAGTATCTAAGATTGCAATAATCGTATGACCCATCCTCGAATGATGCGAGAAGAAAGAAATATGGGACGAGCTATTATTTTCAACCAATTATTTCGACTACCTAATTATCCAATTACCTAGAAACTTCATTCCGCTTTAATTATCATTTGTTTTTACTTTTTATCGAAGGCGCAGTGTCGCTGTAAATAGATTTAAATAAACAATAAATGGCGCTGTTGGGACATACCCGCGTGTTAGAGTTAATGTATATAGAATGAATAAAGAAGGCAAACCAAGAATTTAAAGTAAAAATTATTATTGTAGTAAATGGGAGCCCGTTTGACGTTGAAAGTAATCAATGAGAGAGATAAAGTGAGTGTGAGAGCGAGAGTTGTACGAGTGATCGAGAGATTCTGCTTTAAGATGAATATAATTAAGCAGTAATCGAGCATTTCCAATAATACCAACACCAATAAATACTCCTAATGATGAAAAATTAAACGTAAAAAATTGACTAAATGTTACTTAATGAGATGAGAAAAACATTGCATACATAGTGAGCATGCATTATCATTTAACTAAACACCCGTAAAATGAAAAGAAATAATAATAATTCGGAAAAACAAAAAACATTACTCTCTATGACTAATTCAGATATCAGTTTAAATGAAAAGAAATCATTACTACTTATTAATTACTAATTAGCAAGATACCTTAAGGGTCAGTCATAATGGTAAACCATATAGTCTATTTGTTAATGTTTCAGATATTTTATTAAATGTTGATATAATGTATTGACGACATTCCTTGTTTGTGGCAAATCTCCCTCGCATTAAAATGAGAACATAGAAAAATCTTTGCCCTCCCCCCCGAAAAAAAAAAAATGCTCCACCTGTCTAAGCTGATAATCGTAAAAAAGAAGAATTAATTGATCGGTCAATAAAATCAATAATCGTACCCCCCCCAAAAAAAATCAATAAATATTTACAAAAATATAATGCCTTCGTACAATCGAAGCTGGCAATCTGCGCCGAGTTTGCGCCAAAAATTTAATTCGTAACAAAAAATAAGAAAGGAATATTGAAACTGATTTTATTATGAGAATAAATCGCCGTTACGCTTGTCAACGACTATTATCGGAGAAGAAATAAATTTATATTAATTTAAACAAAGTAATCGTAAACTGTCAAATTTGACTGACCGAGCGACCACCCAGTGACGTAACAGCGTCATGAAAAGAATTTATATAATTCTAGGGAAAAACATTTTTATTGTAAAACACGAAATGAAGATATTTATATTGTGCGAATACACGATATACTATGCGAATTTAACGAAAGCTATTGTTCTTATTTTCCTTGTTGATTTATTGTCTCAATTACTCCTCTTTTTTTATCGTCAAATTTTTCCATACGTTTGTACTTACAGATGAAAATGAGAATCTGAATAAGTGGCTCGTACAGGTTGCAATGTTTTTATCCATAAATAAACAATTCCTAAAAAATTGAATATTCATTCAGGGTCAATTTAACATGGGGCATCGCAAATCGTAATATCACACCACGAGGACAATACATGTGACAAGATAAATGTACCGACGCGATCAATAGTGTCAAAATCATTGATGATTGAATTGGTGATGAATTCAAGAGATGAATTTTCGAAAACTGTCAACATTGCACAAAAAAAAAAAATAAACAATACAGCTATTGTATCGTGTGAAAGTCTTATCCCCTGTTCAGTGTCGCAAGAACCAAAGTATTAATTCAATTAATAAAAATTTTCAAGTGGAATATACAAGAGATACGTGAAAATAGGAGTTGACATGCGCTTAAACAAATAATCATCGTAAAATAGACGTTCTTCTGCAATCACCACGGGAAAATAAATAAATTAAAACGATAAAATGAAAGGTAAAAAACCTGGAAAAAGTTAATGTGAAAAAATATAACTGTCGCGAGAGCATCGACGATTTGTAATATTTTATAAATAAAATTGGCATATCAATTTTTAATCGAACAATTTCACTCTGAACAGAAAATAACAAACTGACGAGATAACAAAATAAAGGATATGAAATGAATAAATTGTCATTCTCATAAAACGCTCTGCTGGTTTGGAGCTGTAGTCATATCGTTAGAGCATAAGTCTGTATGTGACGATGTTAATTATTGTAAGATAAAAAAAAATTAATAAGTAGGAGCGTATCAAACTATTTGTCTGGTATTACTGGGCATGCTTCAATAGATTTTTTATAAACAAGGTTCGTTCGACAAGATGAAGAAAAAAAAACAAAAAAAAATGATGAGCATTTCTTTCTCATAATTTTTTCAGATAAGAAAAAACATTTGTTTGCAACGAATTTTAAAACTCGATGAAAAACCAAAAAAAGAGCAAGTGAAGGATGTGAAATGAGAGAAAAAATAACAATCGCACCTCGACGAATCTTATCCTAATTTATCACCTATGCAAAAAGAGAAGATAAAAAAAAACAAAAAATAATAATAACGTGTTTTGGGCCCTTCCGTCCAATTCGCCATGTACCACTGTCATTATTTATTTAATTTTGCAACTTACGTACAATAAAATTGTTATTGCTGAAATAATTACAGTGTAATCCCCTGAATCCACATTTGAACCGTTTACAATAATTCCACAAAAAGAGGATTTTTTATTGAGAACAAATTATTTTTTTGCAACATTTGACAGCTGATCCCGAATTCGCGAAAAATCATCCACCAATGTCTTCAGAGTACTCGGTGGAAGTTCCATGACAATCGTCTTCTCTTTCGAAGCTGTGACGTCTTCAATCTGAAGAACAAAATAAAAACCAAAAATTGATAATCGAAATTACTATTACCAAGGCCTCTGACATGTATCACAGACTCATTAAACTTCTTTCATTCAAAATCCTCTTTCTCCACGTTCACTTTCCTAAAAAAAAATAATCAAATAACATTCCCACCTCTCTATCAGCAAGAAAAAAACAGGTTTGATTTTTTCTCTGAGCGGAAGTGAATTTTTCCCGATACTGAAAATTCCCGGAAAAATTCGGGCTCTGGGGACCTATTACCGACGGATGTGAAAAATCTTTCGTGAACGGAACGTAATCCCTTGGAGGGACTAAAAGTGGCCGTTAATTATCTAAAGCGTCAATTTCGCGAATAAAGATAAAAAAATGGCAAGAAATTTGCGAGAAACGGGCAGTGTCTCCCCATCGCGCATTCGCCAGGGAACAATGATGTCACCATCTCGGCCGGCGTCGTATCACAACCGATACACAACAGAAAGAGGTAACACATGAAATACAGTGAGTCAGCGTAGCCATCGCGATACCAACACATTAAAAACATATGGCACAGACGCAAAAAGCCAGGAGTGCGCCATTGATGTGTCAGATCGGTTAGTAGTACGGCTGAAAAGTATCCCGGCAATAGACAAAATGGATGCTAACGCACGTGAAATAGAACGCGACAAACAAGAATTTACGGACGCTATAAATCACTGCATCGATCTATTGCGCGCTAACAATTACATAACCGATGTTAACAGTGACGTGATAACGCGAAAAGCGGCAGTTATTGGACAGGAGATGTACGAGTGTCTGAAAAAAATAAAAGAAAGATCGAGAACAGTTGCTAAGCCGACGGTTATTGATAAGAGTGAGCGTGTACCAATTGTTGATATTCACGAGCGTGATCACATCGTGAGAAATCACGTTGTCAATCACGTTGTTAATCCGGTTAATCAGATACATTACATTAAGGAGGAGCCCCTGGAGATTATCGAGACGGAGGAGACTGAGTCTTACGAGGACGAGGGTGAGAAGAAGATAACAGTGAGGGATGTCAAAAGTCTCGAGGACTCTGATGATTTTGATATCAAGAGGCCGGGTTCAGTCTCCGATGACGATGATCCCATTCAGAATCATCAGATTCATCGCACACGTTTTGCCAGGGGCAGAAAACGGAAACGACCTTATGCCAGGATTCCGATCGAGGAGAAGATCAAGGTTGTCAATTTGGCGAGATCCAATCCCAACTGGACACTTGCCTGGTTGAAGGAACGTTCTGGATCCGAGAGGCTCTCCAGTATTATTCAATTGCGACAATGGGAAAAACAGGTGCTTTCTAAAAGTACTATTATTGATAAGCTCAATGTTATCAATGGGTGGGTCTACTCCAGGTATCTCGAGGAGAAGGAGAAGAACTTTGATGTTGCTAATTCCATGCTCAGGGAGTGGGCCATTGCGGCAGCACAAAAATTTGTTTATCCAAGATTCAAATTCGAGCCGAATGACGCTTGGCTTGCGGGATTTAAGAAAATTCATGGACTCAAACACGGTGATATCTATGAGGATTGATCACAGTTTTTATTGATCGATTTTTATTATTTTGGGTGGTACCCAGTGCTAACATAACCCCAACTCCCATGGGTCGAGATCAGAGACTGCTTTGTGAAAATAATTCTTCTGCTTTGGTTATTCCATTGTTCAGTTCCGGGTACAATCCGGATGTCCGGAAAATTCAGGTTCTCGTAGCGATAGGTTTATTTTAGTTAATTAATTGTAAGGGAGTGATGAATGTGAATGCCATGGCTTATTCAGTCCTCCGGAATGGTGTTTGGAAGGAATGTACAGGAGTTTTAGTGTAAATCTGTCACGATTTCGTCGATAGATTCGGCATATTTTTTATTCTGATAATAAAGAACTGCAATTTTTGTGGATAAAGGGGTTTAATGATTTGTCGTACTCACTGTCATTTTCAGGAGGCAGGTCGATGCTCTTGGATCGAGAGTCGAGGAGGTGAGGTTCTCGTTTACTTGGCAGGTGGTTGATATCAGTCTCGATGGCTTTATTCCATCCATTTTTATGGGAGTGATTTATTTATTTATATTTTGGAATACTGTTCGGTCTAGATAGTTAAGGTTATGGCTGGTCTGTCTTACCGACATTGCAGGTGAGTTTTACGTTTTGGCTCTCAGAAATATATCAAGATGGCTCTGAGGGGTATCCGTACCAAGATGTTATATTTGTGTATACGCCGTTTTTTTAAGTTGCAGATCATTGGCATATAATCTCTTTTTTGTACTGCTTCTAACGATTTCTCATCTGGAAATTTCCATTACATACTTCTCCAACTCGAAAACTTGAAAATCACTACGGAAACATTTTTTCCAGGCTTTTTTCACTCGTGTGGATGGTCAGTTCTCGCCAAAGAGGATTGACTAAAGTAGAGGCTCAGTTCTGGCGGTTGAAGTGACCCCAGCGACTTCATAGTACTGCACCCCAAGAGAGGGAGGGCGCCACACGCAATGGGTCAATAACAATTTCGTAACGCAGACAATAACATTCACCCTGTCAACTGGTCCCTCTGACAGCGAGACTGCTACTGGGGCAGTTACCGAGTCGGCTGACGGGTACACACCCCACCATTGAGTGCGGCCCCCACTTTCTCTTGGGGTGAGATACTCCCTCGGAACTGAGCCGCCCAATGGGGGTTTGAGTGACCCCACCGGCATTGTACCCCACCTCACCCCAAGAGAAAGAGGGGACCGCACCCAATGGTGGGGGGCCTGCCCGTCAGCCGACTCGGTAACTGCCTCAGTAGCAGTCCCGCTGTCAGAGGGACCAATTCACTGAGTGAATTTTATTTTCTGAAAATTTAAAATTTTTCAATTTCAGTGAATACCTCCTCGATTTTCATGCTCCCCTGATACTTTTTCGAAAATTTTGAATTTTCACATTTCAGTGAATACCTCCT